AGCATATAAATGTTCCAAAGCTGTTCTTATCAAGTGCACCCTGATGAGCGTGGGCATGGTTTTACTCCCTTTTTATTTTGAAAGCCTTTGTTGCTCAGCCTCTGAGAATGATGAGTTCCCAACCCGTCGCTTGGGAAATGTGTGCTTTGTTCCTTAATGAAGCAAGAGAAGAGAAGGAAAGGGGCAGAGCTGGAGTAAAGAGATGAGAAGGACATTATCCATCGCCTCGTTCAGGCACACTTTTTTAGAAATAGTGGTATGAATGGTCAGGTGGGAGAACTTGAGTTCTTCCTGTGAGTAGGAACTTACTTCATCAGGCGCCCAGGCTCTTGGACCACAGGGGTAGGAGTGTGTTGGCTCACTATTGCTGCCGTAGAGTTTGGCACTAGAAAGCATGATTTGTAGTTCACAAAACATTTTGATGAATTGATCTATTACAATGAAATGAAGCACAAGAACGTCAGCAGAAATGACAAGCCAGGTGGGAGGCTCCCTAAGTAAGACCAAGCTTTCGAGTGGTGGGTAAAGAAGGCCCTGCATCAGACCAGTGCCAGAGACTTTAAAATCCATTGTCCCCTCTTTTCCGACTTGTTTCGGTCTGTAAGGTGTCTGGATTCATTGGCAGTTGAAGACAAGATGCAGCCCTTAAAGTCTACTTTGTTATGCTGTTCTTGAATTTATCTGTGAAAGATTGCAGGACATAGAAAGATGACCATAAAAAGAAGTGAAACTGTGAAAGTCAAGTAAAATGGAGGAAAATCAAATAGCTTAGGAAGGGTTTACAAGTATAAGAAACAGTCAGTCTTTGTAAAGCAGTGGTTCTCAGTTGGGACAGTGCAACATGCAGGCAGGATTTTGTACCATTTAGTCTGCATGCCCTTGCCTAATGCGTGTATCACTGATTAAGTCATATAAATCTTACTCTCAACACGATTTAAGATTCTCAGTATCTCTGTCTCTTCTTATGCCTTGTGATGAGTCCTGGTGGTATAATGGTTCTGAGTTGGGCTAACTGCAAGGTCGTCAGTTCAGAACCACCAGCCGCTCCACAGGAGAAAGATGGGGCTTTCTATTCCTGAAAAGGGTTAGAGTCTCAGAAATGCACAGGAGCAGGTCTGCCTGTTCTGTAGATCCCTCTGAGTCAGCATGGACGCGGTGGCAGTGAGCTTGGTTTGTTGTTTTCGTTTGTGTAATGCCTAGTGCTATATTTTGAAGCTGGTTCTACTAGCCAGCCAGAGTGCTCCTGAGAAGTGAGACCTCAGCGCTCTTACTTTGGACATGTTCATCAGGAAAGACCCGCCACCAGAAAAGGACGCCGTGTTTGGTAGACTAGAGGATCGGACAAAGATGGGCGACACCCTCAGTGAGCTAATGGACACCATATCCACAATGAGGGATTCAAACCTCCAAGGACTGTAGTTGCATAGGCCACGGTTTCATCCTGTTATGCATTCCGTTGCTTTGCGTCAGAGCTGACTCCCCCACAACTAACAGCAAGCCAGTGGGCAACAAGCCAGGGTGGTGCTGGAAATCGTACAGTGTGTAGGCACAACGAAGGACGATCCAGCTCAGTAGGTCAGTAGTGCCAGGGTTGCCGCTGAAAAGGAACGGAAACAGGCTTTGTTTTCCATGGGAGCCGGGAGCCAGTGTGCTTAACCTCCGCAGCATTTCACTGACAAGTCAATCTAGGCCTCTTCCAAGGGAAAGGAGCGGAAACCCAGCTGAAAAGCACGGACCGTTTTACCTGTAAACGTGTCCTGGCGTCAGTGCATACCATGTGGTGCAGACAGGTCTATAGTCTTGACTGAGGAATTTGAAAATGACTTTTCCACTTAGAAAGTATGATGAAAACGCTATGCTGTGTGCACAGGTTAGGTTGAGGGTAGTGTGGCAGTATGCTATTATTTTACCCTGAAGGTGAAATGGTAATTTAGGACCCCTTTTCAGCCAGGGGAGCTGGGGAGGACAACAACGTCTGTCTGGTTGAATCGCTGAGTGGATGTTTCAGCCTTCCAGCGGGAGCTGGGAGAATCCAGCAGGGGACATCCTGTTAAAGCTAATTTGTCATCTGAAGTATCTGCAGATAGGGGACAAACAGCAGCATGAAGATGTCCTGCTTATAAATACCTCTTTGTACATACAGCCTTGAGATTTGATGGGCGGGCTTTATCTCTCCCAGCTGCACAGATGCCCCGAGCTCTCTGGCTTCCAGCAAAAACTGTCTAGTGTCCTGAGCGACAGTGAAAAACTGCTGGAGGAAAAGGAAGCACTGCGTCAAGAACTGAGTAGCTGCATTGATAAGGTAGTAAAACCAATAAGACTTTTACCACCACTGAATAATACACACCACTGAGCATGCGCCCTGTGAGCCCACTTACTCCATAGGCTCCTGGACAGCATTTTGGCTGGCAGGACATGACCCTCGAGCTCCCGCGGCCATGATTGTGACAGGAATCTAAAGTCATTGTTTAATGATTACATTAAATACAATAATGCAGTTTGTCTCATTTTAACGATCACAGCACTTAATATATGTATGAGGTCACTGACACATATCACTGTTGCTTACATGCAATACAAGTGATGTGTACCGTATATACTCCAGTATAAGCCAAGCTTCCAGCACGTTGTTTATGCTGAAAAGGCCCCCTTTTTGTGGTAAAATTAGGTGCCTCAGCTTATACTGTATTCTGTTTAATAATCTGAAATACATTTCATGGAATAGCAATTTTTTCCATAGCATTTTCCATTTAAGCCCTTCCCCTCCTTTCCTGCCTTCATGAGCATGCCATATACTCTTATTAAGGTACATACATTCTTGAACTTCCTAATTCCTTCAGCCCACCAGCTCCCACCTTATAAGAATATTCAGGAGTAAATGAGAGAGAGAGGTGGACCAGGGAGCCAAAAGAAGTTCTCCTTTCTGGCACTTTGCTCTGTCCCCTATGGCACTAGATGGCACTGGAAGGGTCTCAGCTGTACAAGCAGAGGCATTTAAGTTGGGGCTAGAGATGTTTGGGAAAATTGCTCTGTTAACACTTTCCTCTTCCTCAAACAGTTGGCAAAATCAAGTTTCCTGGAGCACAGAATCACTACTATGCAGCAGGAGCAGAAGTCGTGGGAGCACCAGAATGAAAGCCTCAAAGCCCAGCTGGTGGCTTCCCGGGGAAAGGTCTGTGAGCAGTTCTGTCCCTCTCCGCAGTCAGTAGTCTGTGTCTGCCAGCAGAAATCGCTGTGGAACACGTGTCCCAGGGGAAAGTGGTCTAGGAGAATGATGGTTTTGTCAGTTTGACTAACATTTGATGCACGTTGATAGGCTGGTGAAATAGCAATATTTCCCTGACCGTTTAGTAATAATGAGATTAAGTTATTTTTAAAAGCTTGAGAAAAGCATATAAAAAATGGATCCTAATTTAAAAATAGGGTTTTCTAAGGCAAGTTTATGCCCTATCATTGAACTCTTTAACAATTTTCCTCTTTTAGATTTACATTTTTTTAAAAATTGAAGTTTATATAAATTACCAGATAATAGTATGCATTAGGATTCTACAAGGATGTAATGTAGTTTTCTTTTTAATGAAGAGTTCCTTTACAAACCATCACCACAGGCTGAAATATAATTTCTGTGCAATCACTCAGGCCTTTTCTGTGGTGCCAGTTGGTACCTGCTGGTTCTGCAAAACATCGTTGGTAATCCCCCCCGCCCCCCCATGACTACATTCTGCTCCAGGCATCATTCGACGGTGCCCTAAAGATGATTGAGCCTATAAATGCCCATACTATCCTTAGGTTCCCACCCAGCTTCTGAAAAGAAAGCTGGATTTAATAAGTAAAAACAAAAGGGACCGTGGGGTGGGGGGGCCGGAGGGGAAGGGGAAGGGGAAGGGACCTTGGCATTCTACCCCATTCATTCCTGGACATGCAGCAGTTGAGACCAGCAAGATTTGGGTAACAGTGTAAGATTGTTCTTGTGTTGCAGGTTCAAAGTTTAGAAGATACTCTGCAGAATATGAATCTGCAAATGTCCCGGATCAACTCTGACCTCCAGGTAACCCAGCAGGAGAAGGAGACCTTGAAGCAAGCAGTGGTGTCTTTACATAAGCGACTTCAGAATGCTGGTGACAAGGTAACTTCCTTTTTTACTGAGGTAGAATATGTGTAATAGGGTATGCAAGTTTTAAAGTACAACGTAGTCCTTTTATCTGTATCTATGAATAAGCATATATATAAATATACATTACCCCCTTCAGTGTTTCCCCTAAAAGACAGGAGGGTTATAGAGTGGTTGTCTTTCTTAATTTTTCTTAAGCATTTTCAGGATTTTAAAAAAATCATTCTGTAACTTAAAAGTGTTTTCCTAAAATGTGATATTTTATGTATGTGTGGGATAAGAGGATCCCTCGTTGCACATTGGTCAAGTGCTCATCTGCTAACTAGAAAGGTCAAACCGAATCTACTTGCAAGGGAAAGAGGTAGAAGTCTATGTTCATAAAGATTTATAGCCTTAGAAAACCTGGGGGCAGTTCTGCTCTGTCCTGTAGGATCACAATTCGTCAGAGTTGATTTGACCACAGTGAGAGCTAGAGACAGACACCATTACCTAGGTCAGAACATGACTTTTATAGTACACCAACATGCTTGTACCCACTCTAGTTGATACCATCCAAGTTAACCATTTTTATAACTTCTGCAACTAGAGGATAGAGTGCCCTGTTTCTACATTTAGATAAACAGAACCATAGTGCTTTGGTTGTCTCAGTTAATGTTTACTTCCCTGGGAGCTAATATCCATTACAATGGCGACACAGAACTCACAAACAAAATTCATGATTAAAGTGTGAACAAGCGGTTCACTTCCAGTTCACAATGCCAGTGAGAAATGCTCAGCATATGTTACATAGTTCTTTCAGGTCTGCTCATAAATGCCCAAAGGGGCATACCACTCTGCTGTGCCTCAACCGGACATTCAGCTCAAGCTCCGTGGGGCAGCAAATCCAGTTCTCTTAAATGAAGTGCCCAGAGGCACCTTACTCCAGTAAGCCTCAGCCTGAAGGCACTCAGTTCCATTTCCAGTGGTCAGCAAGCTCACCTTCCCTAATTAAGTGCCCAGAGGTACCCCACCCAGCAAGCCAGCCTTTACGCAAAAGAACTCAACTTTACTTCCTCTAGGGGTTATGAAGTCCACCTCTCTGTTCCCTGCGTAGGGATCTCGGGTCCAGAGGATGCTCTACTCTTGGCTCTTGCTGATAATGAGACCCCTCCTCATTCTCAGAGGGCTCATTTTATACCAAGCAGGATGGCATTCTAGAGAATCCTGTTTGAAATTACTCACAGGTAAATCTTATCGGTATCGTCCCCACCTTCTTACCAGGTGCAGGGAACGGTCCTTAGGTGAGAGTTAGAGACTTTCAGCTAGAAGAGCCACATTCAATCACTCACTGCCTTTGCAGCGGCAAGGTAATTTTTTTTTTTTTTTGACAGCGTTAGAAGACCGTACTAAAATGAGTTTTGTAGTAATAAAGATAAATATGTTTTCGCAGTTAAGTGATAGCAGATAAAACATTCATGTATCCCTGACAGATTAGAACTTAAGGAAAACATTGCGAGAAATCAATAGGTATGCACACATACCAAAGCAGAAAAAAGTAAAACTTCTACTGAAAAGGAAAACGATGTCATCAAACAATGGTACTGACTTCCAGGAGGTCGCCCATTGCTACCAGATGGGCGAATGCGACCAGGAAGAACTGGTGAAAGTGTTAGCCGGCTGACACATTATGGTGATGTGCTGCAGAAGGGTGTCTTACTTTAATTGATCACAATGCTGCTTAATCGCGTCTCAACTAAATTCAGCACAGTGGCATGGGCATCATCCTTGGGATAGATATTAAGATTTTTGTCCTTTAATAAAAGTAGTCAGTAATTCAGTTACTTGATTTTCTTTAACTACAGTCTATTTTCCCTGAGAGAGCTATTTCCATCTCCAAAATTACTTCTGGGCTGACATTTTCCTCAAGCTGACTGCCTTTCCTCTTTTTGATGTTTCAACTGGGAAGACAGACTTATGAATTGTTACCTTCCTTATTTATTTGCATTTCCCAGATTAAAAAATAAAACAACACATTTTGTAGCTTAAAATCGATTCCTAAACTCAAGTCCCAATTAGCTGGTGAGAGTGGGGCGTATCTTATGAAACTGTTCAAGTCTGCAGCCATGTCAGAGCTCCCTGCACCCTCTGTTAACCAAAGGAGTCGTGCCCGAGGCTCAAAGCAGTCCTGAGAAGCAGCGTCACCAATCTGGGTGCACTTGGGTCCCGTATGGAAGTGGAACTTGCTCTAGAATCTCTTTTGCTGCTGAAAACTCTTCTTCATCCAGTAGAGGTTTTTTTTTTAAATGAAACCCTATTGCTTTATTTCTATCGACATACTTGTACTCCCACTAGAAGAGAAAGAAGGAGGTCAAATGATGCTAAGAATTGTTATCACTAGGTAAACTTTTCTCAAACCAGTAATTACCTATCTGCTTGTTTTTAAGACTTTACTCTGCAATTCTCTCTTAAGAACAGAGCCCCAGAAAAAGCCACACAGCCATCCGGGCTCCACAGCCAGCTGAAAAGCCTGTCTTGGGACAAGTTGGATCATTTGATGAATGAGGAGCAGCAGCCGCTGTCGCAAGAGAATGAGAGACTGCAGACTGGGGTGCTGAACACCAAAGCAGAACTCACACACTCCCGGGAGAAGGTAACGCGTCCGTGCGAAAATGATTCGTTTGCTAGGACTGAAACGGTTTCATGGTACGCGTTTCAGTGTTCTGCTATGACAGACTTGTGTTAAGAATATAAAATCTGTCATTCATATGCACATAGATTTATGTTGAGCTTATGAAATACTTTTTCATTTATATAAGCATTTCTATATTATCATCTATTGGGCTTCACATCAGAAATATAATCTCATGGAAGTTATGCTATCCATACCTTTCTTTTGATGGTCTTTTGGGTAGGTTCAAACCTCCCACCTATTGGATAGCAGTCTAGTGTATTTTCCATATGCACCGCCCAGGGACTCCCTGTGTGAGAAAATGCACTGCCATCAAGCTGCTTCTGACTCATGGTGACCCTAGGTAGGGTGTCGGAGACTGTGAAAAGGAGCCCGGTGGCATTGTGGATTATGCTTTCAGCTGTCAACAGCAAGAGCAGTGGTTTGCATCCTCCTGTCATTCACTGGGAGAAAGATGGGGTTGTCTGATCCTGTAAAGATGTAACAAATTAGAAGTCAAGGAAAACATTGCAAGAAACCCAAAGGGGTGGCTGATTCTACACTGTCCTCGGGGATCGCTCTGCGTTGGAATCAACTCAGTGTCAGTGGAGAGACAGTACATATTTAACTGAATAGACAGCCTCATTTTTCTCCCATGGAGTGGTTGGTGGGTTTGAACACTAGCCTGTGGTGAGCAGCCCAGTGCCAAACCCACAGTGCCACTAGGGCTCCTCTGAGAAAAGGGGGCCCCCTTTTTAAAGACTAGCATTTGAAGTTTAAAGTGGTCTTTAAAGGTATCTTTTCCAACAACAAAAAAGATGATGCTTAAATTCCCTTTCCCTCTACCAAGTAGTTGACCAATGCCTACATACCTCTTTTGAGAGGAATTCTAACTTTGAAGAGTCACACATATTCCTTGAGGACACCTACTGTGTGTCAGAGAGGCTGCTATCCCTGAAGTGGCACTAGTGAACAAGAAAGACATGGCCCCTGTCCCCATGGAGCATGGTCGATACACTTGCTAAATTTATTTCAGGTGTGAATAGCCCGTAATAGAATAGATGGGAATGTTATTGCCTTCACTGGCCAGAAGCTATGTTCATGTAAGAGCAAAGGTGCCTAGACAGACGATGTCTGTGTTCTTGACATCCACACCACATTCTTGAGTCTAGAGTCTGGGTCAAGGGTAAGAACCAGAACTTCTTTCTTCGTTATCTTGGCCTTACAGCATTGGGGGCTTTTGTTTATGTTTTCATTTGATTTTTTTTTTAGTCATTGTACAATTCTTATCACAATCCATACATATATCCATTGTGTCAAGCACATTTGTACATTTGTTGCCATCATCATTCTCAAAACATTTGCCTTCTACTTGAGCCCTTAATATCAGCTC